CAATGATCTTACGCTATCTTGACAGCTTAGCGATCTCGATACAGTGTTCAGTAGTAACCAGTATACCAGCGAAAGATCCAGATCCAGTGGATACCAAGATTTCAGTATAGTTACATACTTATCGTATCGATGGGGTGAGATATCCTCCTGTGTATCTTCGCCTGGAGTAGCTCCGCCCCAACCCTGCCCAGGGTTTCGCACAGTGCTAGAGCGGCCTCATTTGTTAACATGGACATATACTACTCTACCTCTCCACCAAGCACATACGACCACAGGGTGTGGAAAATAGGGCTTCCCGTCCGCTCAGCCGTACTCAAGCCACACGCCGGGAGGTTAGTAGTTGGGTGGGTGACCACCAGCGAATCCCTTCTGTTGTATGTTTTTGTCTTTCTTTTTTTTTTTTTGGTTTGGTTTGCACTTTACTTGCTTGTCAAACTTGGTCAAGTAGATTAGTAGAAAGATGTAAACTTGCATTGATGCGGGCGTGTCTAGATAAGATGGCCTAATCCCGGAGTACTCGAGAGCGTCACAATATCCCCAGACCCAGTTGGGTGGCATACGCACATATAAGAAGACAGCGAGTTCGAAATCTCCCTCTTAGGTATCACAAGCATAGAGGGTAGCATTGAAACGAGGGGATGGCTGTAGACGATTTCTTCATCACACGTACAGGCCATGATTCGCAGAAACCTAAGAGTCCACAACCGCACCAAGCACCAAACGCCTCCATTCTTCCAGTGTTTTGCCTGTGCTGTCGACATCTCCATCGCTAGGGCCAGCGAAAGGTAGGAGCATCTTCACAGTGGGGGCGTGGCCATTATCTCTCGCGCATCGCAGGGCTGTTCTTTTCTTGGTATCGACAATAGAAGCATCGGCTACCTTCAACAGAGTTGCTGTTATGCCGTCCAATCCTCTTTCCGCAGCATAATGCAAGGCTGTTTGACCGAAAAGATCAAGTGTATTCGGGTCGCTTCCGTGTTCTATCAGTAGTACGACTATATCCTTTTTGTTCTTTTGAGCCGCCCAATGGAGGGCTGTTTTGCTAGAGTCTTCTCCGCAAATATTGACATTGACCCCACTCTTGACCAATAATTTGACGACAGACCATTGGCCTGACTCCGCAAGGTCGGCGAGATATCTGCCCAATTTTGATAGAGACTTCAAATTAGTGATCTCATCAGCGACAGTTGCAATCTCGTCTATCCCGCTTGCATTTGAGTGCGTCGATATGGCTATACAAAGAGCTGTTTCGCCTTGCTTGTTTGCCAAGTTGATGTCAGCACCGGCGATGAGAAGATCTTTCATCATGCCGAGACTGATCCTCGATGATCGCAATTTTGCAGCTTCATGAAGGGCGGTATTGCCCTTATTATCTTCCAAGTTGACAAGTGCACCAGCAGAAATGAGAACCTTGACATTCTTTTCTCGATATGCCCACACAGCAACATGAAGGGCTGTTTGCCCATGGTTATCGGTCAGATTGACGTTCAGTCCGGCACTAATAAGATATTCGATCATAAGCTGTCCTTCTTGTTCCACCCTTACAGCCTCGTGGAGAGCTGTCGCGCCTTTCTTATCTCTTGAATTGACATCCGCACCAGCAGAAACAAGAAGATTCACATTGATTTCTCGATATGCAGACACAGCAACATGAAGTGCTGTTTGCCCGCCGTTATTTGGCAAATTGACTTCTGATCCGGCACTAATAAGGCATTCAATCATGCCCGGACCTTCTCGTCCCATTCTCGCAGCCTTGTGGAGAGCCGTCTCGCCTGTCTCGTCTTTCAGGTTGACATCTGCACCGGAAGCCACAAGCTCCTTCACCGTGTTTAATTGGTTCCTGGCATGGGCACTGGATTTCAAGCACATAGCAAGTAACGGAACCCTCTCTTCATAACTGATCCCCTTGACATGGGCGTCGGCTTTGGACTCATCCAGTGTGTCGTTAATGACTGTTGAGCGTGGGTAGAACGCCTTGTCGACCGCCAACAGAAATCCCATCTTTTTATTGGCAAGAAGTGCGTATCGCAAAGCAACTCCTAGGGCGAATCGGGTTTCCACTTCATCTACTTGGTGCATTATGTGAAGCAATGAGAGAAAAACCTGAAGCTTCTCTGCTTTGGGAAGTCCTTCATCCAAGGCCACCGTGAACAAAGCCTCACCCCAGGCTTTAGTGAAAACCGGGACATCAATAAGAATTTCTAGCCATGGATGACTGGTTTCAACCAGTATGTCTGGGAACGATGAGAATTCCTTTATTGACATCGTGAGATTTCTCATGCCAATCAAGTATCGGAATAAGGCATAGTGATTGTGCTTCACCGCCCATTGTAGCCATTGTAGCTCTTCCTCATTAAGCCCAAGGGACTTGAGAATGTGACCGACAAGTCTCATGGTATGTGAAGAATAATGTTCACCAACTGTTCCACCTGGTAATGCCAGGTCCCAAGGTCGGCTGAAAGGTAGAGACCTATCTTCTATGCATTTGCAGAAAAGAGTCCACATTGAGTGGTCATATGGCTTAATGTCATTCATGTGGAAGAACCAATAGTCTCTGACATAAGAAAGAAAGGCGGCATTTTGCATCGCGTCTGTTGAAGAGGATCTATGATACTTAGGATCTCCCAGCGAATCTAGAGCTGTTCGAATGTTGATGCGTGGTGACCGCCTCTTCCAGGATGACTGCACCCCCGATATCCATCTATTTTTACTGGAAAGAGAAAGTGCGCCAAGAAAGAGAGGATCGATCATGAGTTCTTTCTCAGCCTTCACTAACTGACGACTGAGATTGGTGAAATTTAGGTATGTCATGCACAAAAAGCCGAAGTGCTCATTGACTTCTTTGGCGTCAAGATTTGCGGGATCCTTGTTCTTAGTGTGGAAGAGATGTTCCTTGACACTATGATGAGTGTAATGAATTGTATGCTCTTCGTCATCAATGAATGTCAAACCGAAACATCCACGGACAATCCGATTCATATCGTTGGGTAGCCGCTTCGTGTTCAGAGACTTATCGCCGAGGGAGATGCTTAAAGCTTCCCGGTATTCTTCAATGGTCAATGGGCGCTTCACCACACCGCAGTATTGGAGCAAGTCCATTGCATGGTGAGAATCCTTTCCATGCTGGATTCGATGAAGCTTTGAATCAAAAAGCTCAGCCAAGCCACGTGGAAGGCATTTCAACGCTTCAAGTATGTCTTCATCGCAGTTTTTTTCACATAGGTCTCTGATGCATAGACCAGCCCAGAGAAACCTAAGCAGGAGTCAATTAGGCATTTCACCTCACGCATAATGGGGTGTGTAGGCTCAAAGCCTTAGTAACTGGATCTCAAACTTACATTCCCTGGGAGCCCTGCCGTAGAGTTTTCACGATCGTTGTGATGATTTCCTCATCTTGGAGGACCAGCTCCCCCTCCTCCAGGCAATCATATAGGGTTGCAGCAATGTATCGATCCATATCGAGGTTGAGCTTCCCTTGATCAATCAGAACGCGATACTGTGGCCGGCCCCACTTGAACAGATCCATCTCAAGGCCCGGGCGACCCGCGCAAATGATCTTCAACATCCCGGCCTTTCCTTGAGAGAGCATCTCCAAAGCCCGAGCCATCTCGCGAATCTGAGCCGTGTCACACTCGTCTACCCCATCAAGAACGATATAGTACGCCCGCTCCTTGGCCATTTTCGAAAGGAGGAATTGCACGGTTTCATTCGTGTCCAAACCTTCACAATCGTGCTCAATCGAGAGCAGATCTTCGTGACTGCTCCCCTCTATCAACGAATCAAGCAGCTGGCGACAAATGCTGCCGACGATATTTCGCGCCGAAAGAGATGGCTGATTGTCTGCTTGACAGAAGAAATGTGCAACAGAATCATTTTCACGTCGTGCCGAATGTAGAAAAGAGACCACATTAGACATCAGGAGAGTCTTCCCCATGCCCATCGTCCCAGAGCACCAAAGGATTGATGACTCTGGACTAGCCTTCCATTTAAGGAATGCGTCGTCATGCAGTAACCACTCGGCGGTTGATTGGACTCGCTGCTTTAGAACTCGTTTCCAAGGTGGAATGTGGTCGACGGGGGACAGATTCTGTTGGGTTTTGATCTTCAAGGCCGCCTTTTCTCTCTTTGTCTGGTTGATCTGCCACTGCCTCGCCTCTTCTTGGTGGTGTGCTGAATACTTGAAAAATTTCAGAGTAAAGGCTCTATGCGAGGAGTTTTCCTTGCTCTCATACTCTAACAACATCTTGGCCTCGTGGGCAGCCATTTCTGAGGCAAGAGAAATCTGCAACATCACTTGGTCCTTGGATGAAGCCAGTTGCTCCAGCCACGGTTTGAATTCGGACTCAAATGGATTCCGAATCGAGATGAAAATGTGAATGGCTGATGGTCGGCGAGACACCTCAATAACCTTGCTGCATAGCTCAATTATCACGGCATAGTAGTCACACAATGAACGCTGAAGCCCGACATGCCCATGGTAAAGCTGGCCAAACTCTTGAATGGTGGGGCAGGTAAGACCGATGTCCTTGATCATGTTGGTGACCTTGTCGAAATAAGAGGCAACATTGCTGGCTACGGTTATGGCGGTTTTGATTCCACCCCAAATCAAGGCCGCCGTCTCCGGATGGGAGCTGACGAATGTTTCCACAGCCCCCGCAAACTGCTGCGTTGCGGTCAGGAAGGTACATAGTCGAGGGGCGATGCTTCGCCTGGTCTTGCTCGCGTTCAAAGCATCAAGCTGGGCGACAAAAAACAGGACACTCCCCGCATCAGGGACTGTCGTGCTGTTTTCAAATTGTTTGAGTTGCTCGGTTGTTAGGACCTGCTTGAAACTGGTCAAGGCCTTTGTCAGGGACTCCGTGGGGTCCACGTCTTGTTGGCGTTTGTTTTCTTTGCGTGGTAGTTGGAGGGCCATGTGCGTGATCAAGGGCAAGCAATGAATGAAAAAGTCTGGCACAGCGACCTCCGATGGGCGGCTTTCTCTGGTGGTTCTTGTTCGAAGCGTGCACTGTATAACAAAACTGACTGAGCAAACACCTGTGGCGAGAGGTGACGAGAAGGCATCGATGCTAGGTAATCTCATCAAGTCACGCGGTGGCGGTGCATATCTAGCGTCTCACCCCTGCTCTTCGTTGGGCGTCCATTTGAGCTCCTAGAACAGGCCAAAATGCCAATCATGCACCTTTGGGGTTTGTGGCTGTGCCAGGCGAATAGGATTCCCGAATCCCAGATCTGCTTCAGCCATTTGTCAAAGCCGACCTCCAGGTCGATGGTATCTAAAAATGCTCACTCTGATGTGGCATTGGCCCGCGTGGGAGACACAGCCGAACAGTCTATGCCATGATCGAAAACAATAATCCTACCAATTTTGTCCATCCATTCTCCTCGCGTAGAGGGGATATGCTTGACCACTAGATGCTTCGTTGAGAGAGGCGTGGGGAGGGCATCTACGGCCGTGAAGCCGGTGTTGCGGACGAGCACATCCTGTCCGTTTCGTTTCGCATCAGTATTGGCGCAGTGACGGATTGATTCAACACCAGTTCCACGATGTCGAGGCTGTCCGTTCTAAATAGGAATCCGCCCTTGGCTTTGTTGCACAGCTGACGAAGACGCGGAAGGCTTTCGACCGGTAGACATTAGCTATGGCCGCTCTGAGGTGCTCATCGCAGTGGCTGGTGGGCATAACCGCTTGGAGCATTCCAACACTTCACAACGATGTGTCAAGATGGTAGAATGAGTCGAGCTGATGGCATTCCTGGACGACGTAGGCAGTAGGAGGTAATGGACGGACTCTGAAGAGTAGAATCGGTTAGTATAGGGCGGAGTCAAATTAGGAGAGTGAAGCAAGCGGAGGGCTTTCCAGCGGAATGTATCTAACATGGATGAAGACTCACATTGACTGAAGAGCGCAAGAGGCTGGCTCATGTGGTGGCAGAGGAGCATCAGGATCAAGTCGAATCTGCGGAAGTCCGGGGGCGAGGGGGGGGTTTATACTCAGTCGAATTGCGCGCCTTCCAGATTCGGCTCTGCCCGCACACCCCACTCAACCAGTATGGTTGTAAGACGGGAAGGGAGAGCAACCGTCATCGCGACTTTGTGAGACGTGCCCACACAGGGACTAAAGGTGAAGGTCTAGAAAGTGATTACTGCAGCAAACTGAAACTAAGCCTCTAGCGTTGAAAGTCAAGATACCAGAAAGTCAGAGATATCAGTCTACCGACTTCTACAAGAGATGCTACTGAAACAACACATGCGATAGTTCAAGTTTAGATTTCCCATCTATAGGTACAAAAAACAATGCCGCGGAGCAGCAGGTATCACAGGATAAAAAGAAATGAAGCAATGTACAAATCAAAATGAATGTGAGGAGATAAGAAGTCTAGAGCGAATCAACCCTCAGGTGCAGATGCAGCTTGCATTAACGTCATTAGACCAACATGAGCCCGGACCGAAATTCAGTTGGAAAGGAGCCCCGTTGGTATGTCATCATGATTGGTGTAAAGAGGTCATTATCTCCGGATTTCTTCAACCGAACGCCGTTTTCCCAGATGTCATTTGATGAATGAAAGGTAGAGCTTGCGACGCAGCTTAGACGTGACGGAAAGGCTCGTAGGCGTTGGTGCGGCCGTTCTGCTGCTGCATGGGAACGTGGCCCGGGGGAGGAGGGGGCGGGTAGGCGGTGTTGGTGTAGGCGGGCTGCTGGGGTTGGCCGTAGGGGCCGAGGGGCTCGTAGGTGTAGGGGGCCTTCTCGGCAGTGACGGCGCGGGCGGTGTTGCGGTGGTTGTAGGGGGAGCGGCCGGAGCAGCAGCAGGTGCTCAGGAGCCAGAACAGGGAGGCACCGAGCGAGAAGGCGACGGCGAGCCAGGTGGCGACATAGATGTTCTTGCCCATGTGGCCCTTGACGCCATAGGATTCCAGCTCGGCCTTGAAGACGCCCTTGAGGACGGCGAACAAGGCGGTTGACGTCACGGAGGCGGCGGTCGTGAAGAGGAATGCGACCTGTAGGCGGCGGTCGTTAGTGAAAAGCACGGAATGGAAGGAATGCGTCAGAACGTACGGCAGAGACAAGAGTGGTCACGCAGCTTCCCCAGCGACTGCAGATGGCGAAGACACCCACAACCAGTTCGACGATGGTGGCGATGAATGCGATAATGTAGGCGATAAACATCCACTTGGAGACGCTCTTGTAGACCTTCAGTTCCTTCTTCACGCTGCTGGAGAGCGCGTTCTCGAGACCGGACTCTTCCAAGTTCCACACCTCCAACGGGTTGAACCAGAATTCAGCTTCGGGCTTCGAGCAGTTGGTCGTCTTGTAGTCGTTGCCGTTGGTGATGTTGCCGGAGCAGTAACCCCACAGACCGACGGTATAGAAGTCCTGGATGTTGTATTGCTCCTCGATCTCCTCCAATGCGGCCGACAGGTCGCCATCCGAGACACCGGCGAGATCGCTGATGGCGGAGGTGATTTTCGCGGTCGTCGATGAAGTTCCGTTTGTGATGTTTTGGAGGTTGATCTGGATTCAGGTTAGTCTGGCACATGCAGATGCATGCAGGCGCATGATATACATACTCTGAAGAAGTAGAGATTATCCAAGGTACTGGAGCTGGATTTGGTACAGCCCAGCCCCACCATGACAATACATATCAAAGAGGCGATGGTGAGGACATATGGGGTGAAGATACAGACAATGCGACCGCCTTTACCCATGGTGCCGATGACTTTTGAAAATGTGATGCTGTTTTCGGTAATTTAAAAACACTCGTCCGGGGTAAGGTTGGAGTGGACAAAGTTGGCAGGGAAGTTGATGAAAGGAAGAGAGTGAGAAAAGGCTGGAGTCAGCGGACAGAGGCTGGGCTTTAAACAAGTAAATAAACGGGTGAGCCGAAGGATCGTCGGGATGGGCAAGCAAGCAAGCAACAGATGATGTAGAATTGAGAGGAGGCGCAGTCAGCAGCAAGCAAATAATGCGGATGGTTGGGAGCAAATTTACAGCCAAGTCGATCAGCGGACCAATCACGAGATGCGCTGCGCCAACTACGCCACGCTTGTTTCTATTTCGATAATGCAAGGTTTCCACCGCAACACGGGAAGAGTGGGTCCATTCACTGCTCTTTTTCTCATTGTGAGGGCTTTTGACACCGCCAGACCCTCGTGGCGGAGACTCACCAGCCCTACCGCCACGTCAGTTGTGGCTGCGTTAATACGCGTCTTATCAAGATAGAGCAGACCCTGCAATTCTACGAGTACGGATAGCGAGAACGGGACTCCCTGGGTTAGATAGAGCTCAAACAAACCTAAACCCTTCAGCACAGTCTCAACACGACTACGGAACTTAAATATCGCAGACGAAGGATCCGAGCCCGCCCCAGAAGGTCAAACTTATCTGATACACGGTGGATCGACTCCAGCGATCATCATTCGGATGAGTTTATTATTCATCGACCTTGTCACCCACATTAGACTACTCATAGAAGTTGGAAGAGTCAGCCCATTGCCCAAGGCCCAGGAAAAGCAAAACAGGAGTTTTAGGCTTCCCCGTTACCCTCTTGGCAACATTAATCTCAAAGGTCACAGATAGACATCAGCATTTTGATCCGGGGAGAGTACGTACTTACGTACCCCTCGCTGCAGATTCTGCGTCTAAGCCTCGACACACGCACGTCGCGTCTTGGCTTCATCTGCGGCGTTCCATGGAACCCAACAGGAACGTTCGCCTGACTAAGCGCGAGGAATTTCTCCTGCAAAATGAAAGAGCTTCAAGCAGCTCCTAAATTGCGGATTATTGCAGTGAACATGAAAGCATTCATCTTTGAGATATGGACGATGATGGTATGGCAGGGAAGAGTGCTCGAGACCATCTGTGGCTGATCGACAAGCCGGTTACTGACCCCCGGCAAACTTTGGCTGTCATCGGGAAGCTTACGTTGGCTGTCTCAGGCCTGGTTTATTGACTTCTATTCTGGGCACCCCCTCAATTCGAACCGTGGAACTACACACACATCCTCTGTCTTCACACTGAAGAGTCAAAAGAACCAGCAAAGCTCAACTTTTCCATCGAGCCAGGCTAGAGCATCCTTGCAGTAAGGCTGACAGGGACAGAATCAGTACGGAGTATAGCTCTCGTCTATGATGTCAGTCCTTACATAACCAATCGCAGGTCAATGCCAAGAACATCCAACAAAATGTACAGCACTTCGTCCTCCACACCACGCAAGCTCACCCCAGATACGGCTCCAGAACGTCCAGCATCCCGCTATAAGCCGGGCCGCTAGGCGGCTCCATGCTGAACATGTAGTCCGCCCACCACGGCCCAGCCGCCCACCAGACCGCGCCCTTCCACACGTCCGTGTTGTTGGCCATGTACTCCAGCATCCCCGCGATGGCCGTGCGACAGACGTCGTTGGCTCCGCCGGCATACTCGCCAATGATGCCCACCTTCCCGTTGTCCTTCAGCCACTGCGTGGCGGCCTGCAGGCGCTCCGCGCCGATCGTCTCCGACACGCAGACGCCGGACGTCCCCGACCCGTCCGAGTCGAGGTACTGGTGCATCTCGTAGACGAGCTTGTCCTGCGGATCGGTCAGCCCCTTCATGTTGTCGTTGATGTCCGCCCAGGTCCACGCCCCGGACCACGAGTTGCCCTCCGCGAAGATGTACTGGGAGGTGGCGCCGGCCGCCCGGATGCCGTCGATCGCCGCCTGGTTGAGGTCCAGCACCAGGGTTTGGTCCATGGTGTTGTATTCGTTGTCTGTCATGTCAGCCACGGAAGGCTACCGGTGTAATGGGGGTACTTACTCGTATCGAAGATGACCAGGTCGTTGTCCTTGAATTGCCCGGCGAGGTTCTGCCAGAAGGTCTGGAAGTCCTCGGTGCTGGAGATGATTTCGTTGTTGCTGGGGCGGTTAGTGATGTTGAATTGTGGGTTGAGTAGCTCATCACTCACTATCGTCCGTAATTGTGAGGGTCTACGATGGCATGGACACCCGCAGCCGTGATGGCGTTCACCACCTGGCCCTATCAGCCTCGACTGTCAAGCGTGCTTATTGAAACCTACCGTCGTGAGATTGTTTAGGTATGCCTCGTCATACGAGCCTGTCATCGAGTCCGGAACCAATCTTTCCATCATGAACTGCACGCGGAAGATATTCATCCCCTTGCTGACGAGGGTCGCGATGGCGGAAGTATCCGGGAAGATGTAATCGATACCCTGGTCCGGTCAGCGGGTTGATTATTGGCATGAGGTGTAAACGCACCCAAGTTCCCGGAATGGCGGTGCCGAACTCGGCGCCCGACTCATTGGATCCGATCCCTATCGTCTTGAGTTCGTACTCGTCAACTGGGAGATCTTGATGGGGACAACGCACATTCGAAAACAGACGCCCGCTTCTTGTGTTCGTGGGTAGGGGCCGCCACTGCACTGCCGGCCGCGGCAGCAGCAACAAGTAGGTTGAGTAGCTTCATCGCTGCCTGTCGATAGCGGAACCTTGCTGCTTCAGCTCCCAGACAACCACAGCAGCGTCCGACCCTTTATACTTACAATCTGGGCGGGTTCTTCCGAATGTAGAACGGAGCTGTCGACGGAACCTCTACCGTTTCACTTCCATCAGGACCGAAACCTGACACAACGATCAGGGTGCCTGCCTCTGTACAGCTGTTCAGTGGTGCTCATGGAAACCAGGGCCCTCGACGATCATCGGTGCCATTCCCGCCTTGGCATCTCGGCATCTGGGCATCTGGGGTGTGAAACAGGCGCGGAGATTACCAGTCATCCTGTTTTGCGGGGGTCCGTGGCGGTTCAGGCATGGATGTGCAGGTAACATGATCGCATAGCTATCGTGATGTGTACTGTACTGACCGACCTTGTGTAGAGAAAGCCCAACTGCATACATAAACCCAGCACCACCCACCCTCCTCTTCCCATCCTCGCCCAAGTAACCCCCAGCGACCCTCCCAAACCCGATCCAGACCTACCACCCCCCGAGAACTTTCAACTGCTTCTTCATATCCTCCGCCTGCAGCAAATGATACTTCATCCCCGGATGATAATTATTCCACCAAATACAACTCACCCCATCATCATTGATGCACGTCGCGTCCGGGAACCCATACGCCGTCGGATCGTCGAGGATCTTGGTCATGAATGACCACGCATCGTAGAAGACGGTGGTAACCTACGCCCATGCCCGAGTTAGCCAAAGCCCTTATCTTACCCTTACCCTTAACCCCCTCTCCCCCACCAAAGCTCAACCCCACCCCCAAACCCCAACGAATGCAGGAAAAGACGGAACATAAACATACCCCGGCAAACTCCCCCCTCAACCCCTGCACCATCGCCTCCAGATTCCGGTTATACGTGGCCAAGTACGCCGCATGCCGCGCGACGGTGGCATTTCCCTGGTCCAGAAAGAAGGGACTGCGGCTGGTGGGCGGGACATTCAGAAACAAGAACTTGCGGGCGCCGGTGGCGTACAGCTGGGCGACTTGCTGCTTGAGGCGCGCAATGAGCTGGGGGGTGTAGCTTGCGGCGTCGGTGGTGGCGTAGGCGTTGCCGATACTATTTTTTCCCATTATCAGGTTGCGCTTTGGCGCTGGTTGCTTCGGTTCTGCTTGGCGGACGGAAACACGAAGGCAAGGGGACAGGCATACTCATTAATCCCGATCCAGAAACTAAACACGGCATCGCGCGAGGTCCACGGCGCACTGGCCGGCTTGTCGCTGTAGACCGCCCCAAAAAGGCGGAGCTGGGCGGCGACGTCGCCCGGGTAGGCGGGGACGAGGGCGTTGTCGATGGTGGCGCCGCCGGCGGCCAGGTTGTAGTTGAGCACGAGGGAGGCGTTCTCCTGCGTGGTCAGGTAGCCGATGTAGTTGGGGCCGTTGGTGGTGGTGCCGATTCCTTGATCCCTTGTAAGTGCTTTGGCTTGGAGGTGTGTGTGTGTGTATGTGGTTGTCGGGGTTTCTGTATAACGCTGAGGGTATACAGTACATACCTAGATCCGGATTGCCCATCGGCGCCGCAGCAGACGGTTGAGTTCCGGAGGCACTGAACCCGGTCTGCGAGTAGGAGTCGCCACTGATTCGATCTTAGTATATTATTTCAAGCGAGCACACACACCAAGCGAAATAGCAACATACAACGTGAAGAAATAAGTCGGATTGGTCGTCCCCGCGCGAGGCGATGGCCGGGCACCAGCCGTGGCGAGCATGGCTGCTGTCCAAAGCAATAACTTCATGGTGAAAGGGACTTATAAAAAAGATGAGGATCACGAAGAACAATACTTTCCCCGGAGCCCTACCTAAGGGCCACCGCTGTCTATTTATGCAGAGTGCTGGCATAGCTTTCCCCCCCACAGGCTCGATTGCTATTATCCCGAGATGACCTGGCTGCTGTTTGCTGTTTGCTGCAAGTCTGCACTGCGCTGCACTGCACCCACCCTAGAGGCTGGTCGATATGAGCTCGAAGCCCCAATTTAACCGGCACCCCAACCACTCACTCCCCTTGCCCACTCAATTCCTGCAGCGTGGGTTCCAGAGTGCGGGGTTCAAGCTCTTTGATCTGCAAGGGATCCCTGCATCGAGGATGGGCTATACCTCTTTGGCTACGGGATGTCCGTCTGGCATGATGCTTGGATCCGGTTCCGTAGGTACTGTACCAACGGTGGATTGCCATTTCGTCCGGGTTTGAAAACAATTTGCTATGCGTCTAGGTTTCTATCTATCGCAAGGTATATGTGCAATGCCGTGAAGAGCTAGCAGGGAATGCTACCACCGAAGATCCAACATCTCCATGCCCGCCCCACACACAACCAGCTTCCCCGCACCCGAGGCCGCGTCGTGGATGATATCCAACGACGAGATGTCCGCCACGCAGCTGTACCGCTCCACCGCTTGGCGGATCTGGAGCCTCTCCCGTCCGTGCCGGCTGGGGTCGACGTCGATCCACCAGATCTTGACTTGGTGATCGTTGCCCGAGGAGGCAACGACGAACCTCTTTACTCCCTGATCGTGGACGTGCTTGAGGATGCGGACCGTCGTGACGCATGCTGCGTGCGCGTCGGGGATGGTCACCGTGTATGTCGCGTCGCTGGCGCCGGGGGTGGTGTCCAGCAGAGTCGCGGTCACGGCGTTGTCGTCGCCGCCGGCGACGATCAGCGCCGAGGTGGCCGACAGGTCGGCCAGATCCATCGCCTTGATGCTGTTCCAGTGGATCTGGTACCGGTTCTCGCAGGAGATCGTCTCCGGCGCGATCGATGCTCCGCGGATGGGTTGTTTGGGGATCAGTGGCGACGAGATGGTGTAGAATCGCTCGAGGACGGAAGTCAAGTTCCACAGGGTAAAGTATCCGTCCGTCGCGGCCGTGATCAGATTCAAGGTAGAGCCTTTCAGGAGGAATCGAGCCTGGGTGAGACAGTTGCTCATATAGGTGCCACTGGCGAGAAGTGTGAAGCAGCCCTTGTCGGCGGGCGAGTAATGGAAGATCTAGACAATTAGCACAGAGCATGAGGGAGGGGAGGATAGTCAGTACCTTGATGGTGGAGTTGGAGTATGTCAGGCAAAGAAGGAATCCATTACCCGCCTCTCCCTCGTCCACTTCCAACGTGTCGAAGCTCGTCACCCGCAGATCGGAGTTGGGGTCACTCTTAGGACACTCTCCCGCCAGCATGGTTCCCAGACCAAATCGGGGGATCGAGCACGCCCGCCAGACGAAGAATTGCTCATAGCCTCCGCTGGTAAAGAGGAATTTGCCATCCTTGGACCAGTCCACGCTTTGGATTCCGGTATGATGCATGCGCAACAGCCGGAGGCATTTGAATGCACCCCAGCGGGGCTCTACCTGCGGGTCTTGAGGTGTGAATATCCGCACGTTGGTGTCTTCTGAGCCAGTCGCAAACAACGGGCCTAGACCATCCGAGTTCTGAGTGGCACACATGTCCTTGACTTCCCGGCCATGGCTTCCGGAACGCAATGTGCGACTGGCGTCTGGCTGTATCGACAGGGCAGTCAGCCCGGACTGAATCCAGATGAACGATCCCGCCCAAGCAACATCTTGGCTGGGCTGAAACGCCCAGGATCGCCGGCCTCCGTTACAGTTGTGTCTGGCGACCTCTGTCTGAGCGGACTCGTTCCAAAGCACAAAGTCCATCGGCTGGAACCCATAGAACATCAAGTCTTTGGAGACGTTGTCGATATAAGCGCCTGCTATCTCACAGTTGAACGCAAGAGGAGAACAGTGGAGCGTTCTCAGGGAGACCGAGGGGTTCGGACCTGTCGAAAAGGCCAGTTCATGAATGCTATATGTTCCATTCCGACCACAAGTCATGAAATATGGCAAGTCGGATCCTCTGTCCCTGTAGAGCGATGCAAATGAAGTGATAAAGCTGAGTCCTTCGCGTCCGTGTACCTTGCACGAAGGCATGACTGGCTTGAGGATTTCTGAGACTACCACGGGATAAACAGCAAACGAGCCCGTCAGGGATCCCAGCGCGAGATACTGGTCATCGTGAATCAAGGCTGCAGTCGACACACCGAAACCGTGGGGCAGGTCAAGCTTGACTCTATCCACGCATGGATCTGCGCCGTCTGCCATCGTAGCCAAGAACAAATCAGCCTTCTCGGCTTTCGGATAGACTGCAACGAACGACAAGGTTGCCGCTTTCTCGGTCGTGCAAGATTGGTAATCGAGAGCGTACAATCCCACCGGCCTTTGGCCAGCATCGACCACTTTGGTGAGTGATCCGGTACTGTGGTCATATAGTCGGATCAAGCCTCGGGCGTTACCCAGGAGAGCTATGCCTTTCTGTGGAAAGCCCGTGATGACTGAATACGAGCGCAAGTCTTCCTCAACTATTAGAGTCTCTTTGAGGATGTGCTGTGTAGTCGAGCTCCCCGTCCCAATCCGTCCGATCTGAACCTCACCTCGCACGGTCGTGGCGACAAACGAGTCCTGCGAGACGAATCCAAAACCTTTAATCGAGGTTTCAATGCGAGGTTCAGGACTGGAAGCATCTACCGAGGTTGCGATGCGGTTACGGAGATTGGGCAGAATGACATCTCCATCGCCATGCAGTTCGATGGTAAAGCTCTTCACGGCGCCATCAGCACCACCAGTATAAACAACCGTTTCTGTGTCGGTATGACGCATCTCGAGTGCCCAGATGTGCTTGCCCGTGTGTTTGCGCACAGACATGGTCTCCACCAGCTGAAACTGAGGCTTTTCTGTCGAAGACGGGTCCCAGGTCAGGTCCCAGAGCAAGCACGTAGCATCTTCGCCACGCGAAAGCAGATTCACTTTCCCAGGGCCTTGCTTGACGGGCAGGAAATGAACACCCCAGATACGGGCCAAGTGGCCAAACGCACTCGCAAGAATGGACTCGGACCCGAGCCCATTGTCACCAGCTCCTGCGCCGAATCCTGTGCCGCGAAGCTCGAACCCATCGGTTGAATAGGCGGGAGTCTCGTGACGGGAAGTACGCTCGCAATCGGAGATGTCCCAGATCCTGACAGTTCTGTCGTCACTGCAACTAGCCAGGAGTCGTCCATCACGACCCCCGTGCAGGGAAGGAATCAGAGGAGAAATCTGGACTCCAAAGATCGATCCCTCATGGCCTGTAAAGAAGTGATGAATCGACCCGGTTGCACTGGTCGAATCGTCCTCAGCCAAGAAGCACGACCAGACTATAATCTCGCCAAAAACCGTGCCAGCCGCAACAAGGATGTGGGCTCCGGACAGCGAAAGCACATTCGCCGAATAGAGGATGGACTTCACCCCAGCCACAAGTTGGCGGATTTCAATCCGTTTCTCGTACTCAGCCCCGGCCTGCCTGACAAGCTGCACGCCCAAGAGCGCATTGTGAGCCGTCAGCATGTAAGCATTTACAACTTCGCCATCCGTCTCAGGCGCACATCCGGCCAGGATCCAATCCGGCGCCAGATACTCTGGGCTCGCAGCTTGTACACTCGCGCTCAGCTGCTGACAGTCAATGTGTAGACTGAACGCTCGGACGGACTGCCCTCCCCACGCAACAAAGTCCGCCTGTGGTTCTTGTTCTGAGTGGCCCAGCGCAACGATTCCATGCACATGGTTCCGTTTGAACACTTTCAGTTCGGCGAGCAGACGCCCGCTTTCTTCATGAATGAGCCGGACATAGGTCCCTTGACTCTGGAGAAGGAGTTTAACATCTTTCAAGACCAGCGACTTCAGCGCGGTTACCGGGACGCATGTGTCAATGTGCTTGTACGGCATATTAGCAAACGGCTTCCGTCGGGCACGCAAGAAAGAGCAACCACTCACCTCGAGGGAAGAAGTCATTGATGCTGCCAGCGCGACACATTGGTTCGCTTGGTTCCAGATGGCTTGTCACTGACCTCTTACCTTAAGCGGTGGCTTTTTCCCCGCGTGGAGAATCATTTCCTCGCTCAAAATTCCAGAATTTCCACCCATTGTGAGGATGCTTAGGTAAGCGGGGCGGGATGCCCACTTTCCCGATTGAGACCTTGATGCACGTGATGTGCTGTGTGGATGGACCGAGGACTTATTATCTCTTTCATTCATCCCTGAGCAGAAACAATGAATTGATCATGTACCTTGTGCCAAGCTTAGATGCAAATTTGCCGCTATAGGTTGCTGTGTCGAGTGGCTGGCTCTTGTGCAATAGAAAGGTGTGCTACGATTTCCGTCATGCTTCGCAAGCCAACTTGTGACCGTGGGGTCGTGCTTGGGCTTATCTTAAAGGATTTACAAGCTTTCTAGGAAATCTTTCGTGGCCTCGTTGATTTGACAACTTAGGATGCAAGGAGCTACACATACTTGCATAATTAAAACTGATCTAAGACATGCGCGTATTGTTCCGAGAATGTTGAGACACTGATCAACAGGCACAGGGGGTCAGCATGCTGATCAAAAGTTTCGCTCATAGGGTACTGGGCGCTGTTTTCAAGCAGCAGATCTAGTGGTCGGTAAGAAAAACAAAAACTAATATGAAAGTGGAAATTGAGTAATGGGAGGAATTGTCCACGGTACCCGGGGGGGGGGGGGTTCTCTAATTCATTAAGGCTTTACCTCGAGCAGGGTGAGCATCTGCAGATAAGAACCCTCCCGCAAGGTCAGAGCGAGCGCTTAAAGATGTCATCGGCGCCAGTCACTGCGAAAAGGCACATCCCCAAAGGCGCTGCTTGAACCGATGAGGGCAACGAGGTACAAAATTCAATGGCTACTTCTCCTGGATCTCCACATCATAGCCTGCATGAAAAAAAGAGAGAGAAAAAATCATCTCTCGTCACGCGTCAACCACTAGTGATACCACCCCACCGTTCGTCATGATGTTGCAGTGCCGATTCTGTTTTGCCAGGCAATGCGATGCCAGGAGATCTGGTTCTCAATGGTCCAAATGCGGAGATGGTCGATCACTGCGACCAAAGAACACTGCATCTGTGCGTGCGGTATAGGAGCTTAAACTATAGACCCGCATGAATCTGAGACTCGCAATTTTATCTCGAGTACTCCGTACTCAGTACTCTAGTCGAGCACGGTTTGGTGGGTAATTGTAATTTGTGGTCCGAGAGTCTCCATGGGGCTGGGAAACACACTAGGTTAAGATTTTCCTGTTCTTCACAGACATCAGGTGAAACCCATACTATTAGGCAGCCATGCAAACCTTGATCGAACTAGCTTCCAGTCGGTAGGGTCTGATTGCATCGTGCAAACTCTGAATGTGCAGCTTCATCTTCAGTGTATCGAGAGCAAACGATCGATGACATCAGATATGGGGAAGGCGTTCTTCGGATCGCGATGACGTCGCGGATGGGATGATGGATGATGGGGACGGAGGGTAGTATATCAGCCCTTCCTCGACGGTTTCGCTTATTGTCTTTCGTCTGCTTGTAACTTTGACCAGTCGTTTAATATATTGACAGCGAGCTTAACTGAAAGCTCTTCAAATTGTACGCTGTGATTTGCCAATTCGCCCTCCGATCCAGCTTCTTAACAGTGTAGGTTGTTGAATCCCGAGTCATCACTCACTAACTCCTGCCCGACCGAGCCCGCAACCGAATCGGGTTTAGAGCGTGGACTCCGCAGTCTCGACGTCACCAGCGGCCAGCCTCTCCAAAGCGTTGCAATCACCCACTTCATTTCTCTAGTGCTTCGATCTTGCACCGCAAGGGGAGATCCTCAGTGCCCAGGACCCAGAGCGCCAGAGTGTCATCGATCCCTCCTTAAGAGATCGCTTAACCGGTTAGTGCCTCGCTCAACCCACGGCTTTTAGTCGATCATTAGCCCACTAATCCAGATCACGAACAGGTTGCAGTTCCCACCCCATCCTTCGTCGGTCTCTCTTCCGTCGCATCCCGTCGCACTCGGTGCCACACGTCACTCCTGCGCAAAAGGAAAGAAAAAAAAAAAAAGGTCTATCTTAGAAAGGATCCCGACCGTCCGACTCTGCTGCAATCCTTTTCCGCGATTTCTTCTCCTCATATCCTCACTTTGCCCTATTCTTTTCACTTCCTCTGAGCTTTCACCAACAACAGCGAGCAACTTCGTCACCATGCATCGCACCTATTCTATGCGCCAGTCGCGCGTTCCCACCGCCTCGCAGATCGAAAACCCTCCCCCGCCATTGTCTTCCACCAAGTCCAACAGACTCTTCGGAAAGGGTGGCTTCGGTGCGTGTTCTTCTTTGCCCTCTTATGGTCGACGCCCATCCTGCTAACACGATTAAGGTACAGGCCATGCCCTGCGCAAGAACGCCGCCGGCGCCTTCGGGCCAGACCTAGCCCGCAAGCTCTCCCAGCTGGTCAAGATGGAGAAGAACGTCATGCGGAGCATGGAGATGGTGTCCCGGGAGCGCATGGAGACTGCTGTACGTTGTCGCTGGCATGGAGCTTCCGGAGTGTACTAACAGCAGCAGCAACAACTCTCCATCTGGGGTGAGAACTGCGACGAGGATGTGTCTGATATCACCGACAAGCTCGGTGTCTTACTCTACGAGATTGGAGAGCTCGAGGATCTCTTCGTTGACCGGTACGATCAGTACCGTGTTACCATCAAGAGCATTCGCAACATCGAGGCTTCCGTCCAGCCCAGCCGTGACCGTAAGTTTCTTCTTCCTTTCCAGTGCCCCCGGACTCGGGTGACTGACCGTACATCCACCCTACAGGCAAGCAGAAGATCACCGATGAGATCGCCAAGCTCAAGTACAAGGACCCCAACTCTCCCCGCATCGTCGTCCTGGAGCAGGAGTTGGTCCGCGCGGAGGCCGAGTCGCTCGTGGCCGAGGCCCAGCTCTCCAACATCACCCGCGAGAAGCTCAAGGCCGCCTTCCAGTACCAGTTCGATGCGCTCCGCGAGCACTGCGAGAAGGTGGCGTTGATCGCCGGCTACGGCAAGCACCTGTTGGATCTGATCGATGACACGCCGGTGACCCCCGGCGAGACTCGCCACGCCTACGACGGCTACGATGCCAGCAAGGCCATCATCCAGGACTGCGAGGAGGCACTCGCCAACTGGGTCACCTCCAAGGCCTCGGTCAAGTCCAACCTGTCGACCCGCTCGCGCACCCTGTCGCAGCGTCGGCGCGAGGGCGTGAACAAGAGCCGCGAGGGCGTCGACCTCTCCGGCCAGGACCAGCCTCTGGGCCGCGATTCGTGGGTGCCCGCCGACCAGCACTCGTCCTACCACCACGATGCAGAGGATGGCGAGGAGGTTGCCAGCACTCTGGACGGTGAGACCCGGGGTCGGGAGGAGGAGAGAGAGCCCGAGACAGCCGTTTAAGAGGCTGCTTTTCCCTTTTTTAAACAGTAACTTGAATCTGGTTGATATTATCCCGAACATGAAGGTTCCTGGAGTACGCCCCTAATTGTGTGATTTGGTTTCCATCGAGATTCCCGCTTGATGTGTTTTTGTTCTGCCTTGTTCTGCTTTCACCCCCGATGAATTACTGATGATTAATCGATTCCGATGACGATGTCTATCCTGCCAAAAACAAAAAAAGAAGAAAAAAAAACAGAACATAATATCCAGGCGTGTGTCCGCAAGAGGGGTGTGAATTTGTGTGCTGACGGCGCACGTCTGCGATGATGCTATAGGGGGTCGGACTTTTCTAACGCGGGCGATCTTTTTCCCTCTACTGTCTTAATCGACTAATGTAATACTATACCACTTGCCCAAGTTGACGGTGATGGGGAGGTACATGTTTTGACTTGTGTTGTGTTGCGTCGCGTCGTGATTGCAGTCATGTTGTTTAGGATTTGAATAGTAATCGATTGACTTGCGGTCATTATTTAGTGGAAGTATGGCCTTGTAGGTTTTATTCTACATCGAAGGGGGCCATGTAGAACCAATATTAAGCAAGCGGTATTCCTCATAACGGCTGGGAGTATAGAGAGCGAAATCGATTGCAAGTTCGCCGAGAATCATAAAAAACGATTGAGATACCCACCGACCTAGCACCGCATCTCACTGATGCTCTGGGCTGGCTATGAACTAGCCCCAGCCCATTCCAAAACCGCTGCAACAATGAGCCCTAAGCAGGACCTCCTCCTTCCTCCGCACCCTCCCCCCCTCCAAATCAACCATTCTCGCGACGAGAGACCCAAACTCGCCGCACGGGCCGTGAAATAAACCACAACCCCCAAACCCAATCAACAACATTCTTTTTCAGCTCGCGAGACTAGACGAGATCCACGAGATCCATCACTGCCATCCTATCCAAAGATCTAAACCACACAAGATACCCAAGGTGATTTACTGTACCCCCGCCCGCACTCCGGCCGCGAACCAACCCCTCTCCAGCTAAGAGACGAGATCACGCATTCCATCGCCATAGAGCCAGACGCATACAGATCCAACCCTCAACCTCGATTTCGCGAAATCCCTGTTGAACGCATATCTCCCCATTGCTGCCCCGGTTGATCTAACGATTTGTACCCCAAGCATCGACCTGAGCACGGACATGCGTGCTCGCTCGACACATCGCGAGGGGCATGGGACTTGGGATGGTGGGAGGGGTATGCGATGGTCGTGGCTGCTGCTGCTGCTGCTGCTGAAGTTAACGGCTGTAGGAAAAAGTTCGTAGTGTATAGTGGGCTGGTAGCTGAGTCCAGCGTGACATAGATATCGATATCGATTGGCGGAGATGCGGAGATGCGTCGAGGACCGGAGTTCCAGGCTTTCTTCGTCTTGATTCGGTGTAGCTATACTTTGATCATCCTGCAGGTTCGGTGTAGGCAGTCATCGGGGGTGGAAGCACTTGCTGTCATGTAGGCTCATGTGTACTCGTTCCGGGGAGTAACTTGACTATATATGGCGCGGTGTTTCAGCTACAGACTTGTGCAATTGTAGGGTGGGAGTGTACTGTACTGTACTGGTCTTGTGCGGAGGCGGATGATTGACTGTGATGTATTCCTGAAAACTTAAGGATACTTAAGTGGGTTCAACCTTGAGATCATGGGGTGGACTGTACTAGGAAGATGGGAAGGAAGTATAAGGAAGCAGGGGTTGAAGGTATAGAGCCACGCTCATACACAGTCATGTCTCAATGTTCACTATACCTTGACTAAGCCTGCCCTCTGTACAGTACACGGCATAACAGTACTGTGGTATGGTTGTAGAACCAGACAGTGCGGCGTACTCACCTCAGTAAGGTAGGTTGAGGGCACAGGTGCAGACAGAGTCAACCGCATCCCAATCCGGAAAGCCCTCCCCGCGATCATGGATCCTACCTCCATATTTCTCAGGCAGGAATGCCGAGTGCGGGTGCGGGTGCGGGTGCGCCGGCCGAGGTGATGTCAGTCGCAACCGCATCAGTCACACCACTGCACTGCATAAACCTCCTCGGGGAGATCGAGGATCATTCTCCCCTTCTCAATGAGTACACATATTAGTCTAGTGCAGTGAAGGTAGCGAACACCTCAGCTGAGTATTCCGCAAGGTCCCTCGAATCACCTCTCCGCCTGGGTGAAGCGAGGTGAAGCTAGTGCAGAAGTACCGTACAGTACATGTAGACTACGATGCTGCGTTGGTTTGCAGACAGACCAGCCAAATACTAATGTGCCCCGTGGGGGTTGCCAGAGTTTGGTGTGATTTAGGTTCATGATGGCGCAATTCCTGATGGGGATTGCATTTCATGGACGGCCTGAGATGAGTCTATAGTTCCCTCCAATTAACTGGGTTACCTAGTATGGATGATTGACACCATGTAAAGAATTGGAGGTAACTCGTTCATCGAAGATTTGTTCAGTGGGCTCTTCTTGTTCATTCATTTCAGTCTGGTAAATTACCCTCTCTCTCCTGAGAAATCCCCAGGTGTGGTCGGCTTCAATCCGCCACCTCAGAGCCATAGCCCATACGATAATTAAAAGATGCGAGATTGTACGTGCCTGGGTCTCAACTCGAAAACAAAAGAAGTCAATATAAACACCCCGTATTCCCTGAACTCCGATTCGCGCGATTGGATGGAGACAACGAAACAAACAACACAGACACAAATGTATATATAGAGAAAAGAAATAGCAAACGGTCACAATCGTGGCTTCCTGATCCCGATCCACCAGCCCGCCCTGATAGTAATAACCCGGAAATGTTCAGTAAACGACACACGTGTATATGACTGGCCTTCATATACCGAAGCATGATGATGATGATGAGGATAAGCGTGGGTTGCATGCACACTTGCGAAAAATATGGAAAGAGAAAATCAAAAGGTCGTTACATCGTCATCCGACTTTCCATCCTAGGATGGGTCCCCGGCCTTTCGAAGCGAAAGGTATGAGAAACATACAAATAGATAAAAACAGATGCGAAGAAGCACAGCGTCAATCGGAATCCGCAAACTAATGAAGGCGCAAGGGACTCGACATGTCGCGTGAGTGGAGAATCAATAAGTAGGTTTTATGCGATTTCTTTTGATTTGACACGGGTTCAGCTGTCGGTGCCCACGCCCTTCTTTTTGGGCTGGATATGTTTCTGTCCAGGGCCGGTGACGCTGGAGGTTTTCGAAGTCAAGGCGCTGCTGTCGGTCGGGGGCGCCAACCGGGTCGAGCTGGCTTCGTGCTTCTCGGTGAGCAGGTTCTTCAGCCATCGGTTCTCCATCTCGAGCTGGGCCACGCGAGCCTCGAGCGAGGCGTTCTTCTCGGTCGTCTCGCGCACGGTGCGTTCCAGCGCCTGTTCGCGCTGCTTCTTCTTCATGCGGAACCGGGCACTGGCGGCCGTGTTCCGACGGCGGCGGTCCTCTTCCGCGGCGCGACGGACACCCTCTTCCTGATTGAGAGCCGACGCGAGATGGTCGCCGTGAATCTGTGTGCTGTATTTGGTGTTGGTGATGGCACCGTTGGGAGGTGATATGGACGAGGAGACATCAGATGGCGTCAGGGCCCCGGGGACCTGCGCCAGATCATCTGGGGGCCCATATGAGATGGGTGGGTAGAGTGGGTGAGCTGGATAGGAAAGCATTTGATCTGTTGTGAAGCTGTCAACACCAAGGTAGAAGAGAGGACGGCAAGCGATAAGATAAAAAAGCCACAGTGGAATGGGGGAAGGGGGGGTGGAAAGGAACAATGGAAGCGGAAGCAGCAAGATATGGGGCACATGGAAGGGGATCTTGGTCCGGTACACCAAGGGATGAGAGCTTGGCTTAAGGGTCCGTCACTGACAAGGTTCCCGACGTTGTCATTGGTGTGGATGATTGCGTGCTCACATAGAGCATTGCACTCATCACCAGACAACCACAAGTCCCCGGAAATAGATTGGTCAAAAAATGAGCAGTCAGAACCGCAACAGCAACAGGCCAGTCTGCACGAGGAGGGTGATTGCTTTCTCCAGAAGAATCAAGAGATTACCCTCCCGCAATGCATTGATCATTGCTGGGTCCGAAACAGCAGTAAGGGGAGAATGGAAGAGGAGCAAGAGACACAACACAGGAGACAACAGACAGGCACAAGGCGGTTAGACAAGGAAATGGCAAAGCCACGGAAACTCCATCAGGCAGCCAGGTAAGACAATCTATCAGTTTAAAGCCCCGTCGGTTTTCCAGAAACAGGAGGAAAGCGTTTGCTGTTACATGCATTCCGCAGCAGCTCCAGCATATCCCATCGGAGAGCCGTAGGGCCAGAGATTGGGAAAACGAACCACAAAGCTTGAAGATGGCGCCAACAATGCAACAATGAGAGTCATTTATGAAAAGCTCCAAGCTTCCGACTTACCATAATGCGGATATCCTCGCACATCGATCGGACTGCGCTCGTCCTCGATGCTGTCATATGAACTGACGGACAGGCCGCCCATTCCCTCGGTCTGGTCGTAATCCATATTCAAGTTCTGAAAGGAGGCCAAAGCTGTCGATTCTGCATCAAAGGAGTACTGCCGACTCTTGGCCAGGTTGGGATCGTGTCGAGAGAGAAGAAAGTTGAAGTTTTCGAGCCTATCGAAGCTCGAGGCTGTCCGCTGAGCGAGGGTTTGCTCATCTGACATTTTGGCGGTGGAGGGCTTTTTAGAGGATTTTTGGTCTCTTGTCCTCTTAATTAGGTTCTGTGTTTTATTAAAATTGTTTTGCTGGACCTAATGACTTTGCCCCCCCAAGTATGCTGGGTGGCTTGCTTTTTTTTCCCCCCGAGCCAACAGTGAGGATGATAGATGACCACCAGAGCCAATGTCGGACCCCAGATCAGCACGGTAAAGAGGGGAGAAGTCGGTTTGGGTAAAGAACAAATGATCCAAACAGTTAAAGAATAATTTTAATTTTTTTTTGTTCTGTCTTTGAGCTGGAAGAGGCAAATGTTGGGGGGTGACTTATAGCAAAGATAAACTGTTTTCCGCATTCACTTTACCTATGGTCATGGCATGGCCCGAGACGGCTAGCCACGTACGCAAAGAGCACGAGTTAAAGGACGGGAATAAGACACAATTAGCCTAGCTGGGTGGATCAAACCAGGAGGAATGAGAGGGGAGAAGGAGGGGGGAGTGGGAAGTGGGTGGGAGGCGTTTGGTAGCAGGAGATGCAGGATCACACAACAGTAGGGTGGTAGGGAAAGGGCCAGCAGCAATAGGAAATTGGAGCATGTATCATCCAAACAAAAATATGAGAAAAGAGAACATCAAGTCGGGGGGGGAAGGGAATAAGCACACAAGCAGCGAATACGGGCGTTGATGGTTGATCGTCTCATGGCCCGGCCAAGGCTAGCGGATGATCTGATAGAATGGAGAAATGTCGTGATCGCACTCTGTGGTTGGTCAATTTGCTATTCTCGGGTCACTTCATTCAGTTTCACCGCTTGCCGGCAGAACAGAGTGGGAGGGTGTCAGAGAAGTATGGAAAGGAAGGAAAGAGGATAGGGAAAGGGGATGATATAAATATCGATATCTATGTCATGGGTTTGTGGTCCAGTTTGAAAAAAAAGAAAGAAAAAGAATTTCCAGAAGGGTAGAAGGGTTAAGAGGAACAAGCAGTTCTGGGGAAGTGGGTAATTGTGCCAGGTGAAGGGAGACCGTGAGGAAGGACGAGATCTGAATGGGCAGGAGCCGAAGAGCGGGCGGACGTCAACACAGCGCAAATCAGTACAAGTAACATGTTAGTAACAAGTACCTTAACAACAGTACAAACTGGAAAGGGGAGACGACCCGCTGAGGGACCCAATCGTCCTCCCACTCCTCCCACTCCTCCCATTCATCATTCAGTTCCTGTCACTGCCCAGTGCACATTCGTCATCACCGTTTTGGACTAACTATTTAGGAATCAAAAGCCAACGCGTACTCGCACTTTCTACCGGTCGGGTTTCCAGAGAAAGAACATGAATGATGATCGATTGTTCCGCGGTGGATATCAACTTCCAACTTCTCCAAAGTTTCTCAGTCTTCACACAACCAACCGCTTCCGCGCTTCATTCAGGGGAGGCTTTCGGAACTTCCAGACTCTCGGAACTTACATCATTTCGGTTTAGACGGTTCCCACTGGTCGAGCCTGGCCCAATTTATCTCCAGTCCGATTTCACGATTCAGGACAGCCCGGACTCCACCCCTACTGCAAGAATTTGGAGCGCCGTGTGCTCACTACTGCTAAGCTCGCAGCTCCAGCTACACGGACTCACGGTAGCTCTGGGAATGCCTCTCTTTCATTTCCCACGGCGGAAAAATCCGTATCCACTCGATGGCCTTTTGCCACCTGATGCGGACGACGCCGTTGGTAGATTGGAATGAGATTTGATGCTTTCCATTTCTTGGCGCTGGTCTTTCTCCCTCTTTGAGCATATCTTGGTGGCTGTTCACTTTCCACTCTCCGTCTTCCACTTTTCATCCTCACAGGGCTTCTACCCGCCGGACGAACCAGGCACAGTTGTCTTCCCCTGCGGTCCACACCTGACTTTTGCTGCCGTAGTTTCCCCGAGGCTTGTTGAAGTATGAGATTTCTGTCTCACGTACATGAATCGCACAGATCGAGAGGTGAGCTGACCCAGTTCAATCCTGCTTACTGTCTACTTGCCAGGTGCCATTAGGCAAATTCTGCACCGTCGTTTACTTTGATAGAAGATCGTGGCTTGCTGCTCTATCTCGATCCGATTGCATTGGCTGTGCGTCGTTCAATCCATACAGTTTTAGGACGACAACAGCTTCGTCCAGACAGTGACCTTTACGTAGTCCCTGATCGACTGCTCGTTCTCTCGCTCCATCCCCACTGCGTCTCCGTGTTCATGATTTGACTCCGCGGAGACTTGACTCCCGTCCGGAGCGGCCCATAAATGTCCACTGTGACCCAGACCTTATACCTTCTTTTCCCCGACGGCCGAGTGACAGCTTCGCGCTACGTACATAGCACATCCTCATAGTTCATGGTAGTCTATCCTCCAACTGCCCCAGCAGTGTGCATTTGGTGTCCCTCTATCCACATTCGCCATCTACGGGAAACGCCGAATCCCTAGTAGGCTTCGCGTAGAATTTCCCCGTTCGTCGGAGGGTGGTGGTTGGCCACTTGGGACAAGAGCGTTGGAGATCTTTATACGTAATATGAAGAGAGCCAACGTACTACATCCCACGTACTTACCCAGTGATCATTCTACAGTGCCATACATGCACGTCGGAATTGTAACTCATATGATCGGACTGCCTCGGTGAGCCACGAGGAGCGACTTCCTAAATGGGCACGTCATTCGCGGCACTGGGCAGGCATTGCAGCTCCCGCTATAAGGCTTACTGTATGTTCTCTCTGCCACATTGTCCTTGTCTTGGCTTGAGGGAAGCGCAAAGCGCTATATCACCTTGGCATCATTTCTCACATCCACATTGCAAAGCAGCACTACTTAGAACTAAGCATGGCTAAATGTCGGTCATGTTGAATCCGCACTCAGGACTCGTGAGAAGACTTAGCACTTCCGCTGCAACTGACAGGGTGAAAGCTTATCCCACAACTATGGCCGCGACTACAACCACGACTCTATACTCACTCCGCCCCTTACTCTCATAGCATGCAGCATTCTCAGGCCCGCAACTGCGAATGGCACACCAGCCACCGACCTGCTCGGTCGTACCATGCAGTGAGTCAATTGCTCTAGACCATTCCCCAGCCAGTCGATGCGCAAGAATGCTGACGTACTTCCGTGTCCTAGGCCGGCGACCGAGCGTCGACACTCACCGCGGGGCAAATGTACCGGTTCCAGATTGCGGGGAAGGCTTGATGATACTAGCACATTATATTTGTGTTCTGGAAGTTCTATCAAACAAGTCCCGCGAGAAGCTTATTTATGTCTGTTCGACAACTTGAACTTGCCACAAAGCCACTTAGATATCAGCACAAGACCGTTTGAAATTTGTGACTTCGCATTGCAACCAGAATGGGCCCTCCGCGCTTTTCAGGATGGTGAGCAGTAGTCGACCAAGTCACATCACATCAATTTTGCACACAAAGCAGGATTAAACCAGAAGAGGCTCTGTCCGCCGGGCAACAAGACTGAGAGAGACTTTGTGAAGCAACGAAGCAAAGAAACAGCGAAAAAGCCTCGATCTTAAATCTAGCCAGCATAATACGATTCCAGGGGCTTGAATAGGGGTATGGTCTGAGGGGTTTTTGCCATCGCTATGAGGGTATTCTCGCATCGGAAAGAAGAGTTGCAGTTGCCGTCCGGGACGGAATTTGGAGGCGCCGACTTGCCGAGCGAGCCTCGACAATCTCCTCCAGCATGGGACGGCATTAATAATCCCTGCCAAAAGGGACCCTCCAACTGTCATCAGATTAATGAAAAAAATTCTAGTCAACACCTTTGATCACCTCCTTTCGGTGTCTACTCTCGCTGGTGCAGATCTCGCTGTCTGGATTGTCTTTGGCCATAACGAAATTGTCCTCGTGCCGCTGCAACACAGTTCAACTGGGCAAATAAGCATCACACATCTCGACCCGATCCTCCTGCACTAAACGGAAGCCGGGTAGCTAAGAGCCTAAGGCAGAGCCTAAGGCTCGATCCCTCCCGCGTAGCGCTCTCATCACTCTTTGCCGTTTGCCGTTCACTCAACCTCTTTTCTTCCAGTATATTTGCCTGATAGGGCTGGGCTGCTGTTGTCTATCTGACCTCTAATATCTTTTTTCGTTCTTCTTCAGCTTGCTCTTGCTCGTTGCTATTGGATGAGCGATGCTTACTCCGCGGCTCTATTGCACATGATCACGTTCCGTTATCGTCAGCCTATAAGGTGATCCACCAGGCCATTTGAGTATGGGCCCGTTTGATTCTATGGTGATAGTAGCCGATTGCTCTGTCTAGACACACGCCATGCAGAGTCTGGATCTGAGTACCGATCACTCGTCCTCCTGGCGCGTCCAAAATAGTCCTCCCCTTCCAAGAAACACAGGCTTCAGCGGTGGGCAGGACCTGGACAGCCGGAGGCGGAATCCACTGGTAAGCATCTGTCCTCTTGCTTTTGCAATACAATAGAGCACGTCAGTAAACGTTCAATGTAGGCATGTGAATCATGCTACAAGAGGAAGATCAAATGCGAAGTCGAAGGGTCTAACAATGCTTGCATTCAATGTATGCGCCGCAACATACCATGCAAGTTCACCACAAGAAAAGAAAAAAGAGAGTCATTGAAAAGGTAAGCCTTCCTACCACTCTGACTACTCGCGAAGTCGCACTAAAAATTGGCTAGGACACAGTATGTGAGAACACTAGAAGAACGAGTCAAGAGGACAGAGTCTCTGCTTCGAGCCGCTGGTTTGTTCGCCGAAGAGCTGTCACTTGAGGATGAGTATCTGAGCGAAGAGGGAGATGATCATGATCGTGATATGGACTCCGATGACGATCTCATTTCCCCCTACTTTAGTCCTCGTGCTGGCGTCAGTAGACGCAATTCCGAACCGTCGGCTTTAGATGCTTCTAGCGATTTGCCAGACGCACAGCCTCATCCGTCGAATGACAAGGGAAAGTTACAAGCTGCACCGGAATCTCCCAAGGGTAGAAACCGTGCAATTCCTAAGTCCGGCCAGCCCCATGCCCCTCTTTTCGCCCTGGACAATAGAGAAGAATATAGGTACTATGGTACGAACTGCTCTCCCATTTGCGGCGCTTTATTCCACAAACCTCGACTGACTTCGATTCAAGGACGGTCCTCTTCAATGTCTATTCTCTCACGAGAAGGCCTTGAATGGATTAAGAGAAAGACCGGTGAAACAAAGCTTGTGAATGTCATATTTTCTGACTCAACTCGAGATAGTCCTTGGGACTATTGGCGGCCAGACGTCTTCCATGATATCTTCACCTCGGAAGTGTTCAAGCCGCTGCCTCCTCGAGCAGAGGTCTTTGCGTTGTTGCGCGATTACTTTCGCACTGTAAATCGGCTGTTCCCGCTGTATCATGAAGCGACGTTTATGCGCTTGGTTGAGTGGCAGTACACGCAGCAGACGTGTGATGATGCCGCTCGGTGGGCTAGTATTAACATCCTGCTGTCTCTGGCCTATGAATATCGGTTTTCTAACTGCCAGAAATCCGAGAAGGACAGGGAGAGAGCTTGGCTCTACTACAAGAACGCCATGTCAGTCTTTGTAGAGCTGTCGTTAAGGAGAACCGACCTCCTTAGCATACAGGCTCTTTTGGGCATGGCCCTTTTCCTCCGAGGAAATTCCGGAACCCAGTCCTCCTTGCCGATTATCACGGCAGCCGTGCAAGCCTGTCACCGCATGGGACTACACCGCAATATCGCGAGACCACATCTTTCTCCCACCGAGCAAGAGCAAAGACGCAGAGTGTTCTGGGTTGCCTACATACTTGACCAAAGGTGCGTCACCTCATTATAGTCTTCTCACAAAATACGCTGAAGAATCGTCTGACATGCGTTCTCTTTCTAGCACATGCATACGCGCAGGAAGCAGTCCCATCCAGAATCATGAGGACTTCGACGTGGACTTTCCGGCAGACAATACAGAAGATGCATTCGTGACGTCGTCACATAATTCTTTCTTCCGCCAGCTTTGTAAGATCACTGTGGTCAAAAGTCGCATGTACAGCAAACTCTACTCTACGAAGGCTCTGGAGCACAAGTCTCCTGCAGTCATCTTCCAGGATATCCGAGAACTACACTCGGAACTTGAAGAATGGAAGAACGCTAATCCGTTCGAGTGTCGCCTGAAGAAAAGAGGAACAGGCCAGGACTTCTTGCTTGGATTTGCCTCCGCCGGCCTGCAATTTGTTTACTATAATACAATGCTCATGATACATCGGCTCCCGGTGTTACTTCATTTCGGGTGTATGGATCACATTGCAAGAGGACATCCTATGGATGACTACGACTTGATTCTTAGCGAAGCCACTGTCTCGTCAGAGATCTGTGTACAGGCTGCACGGGATACGTTGAAATTAGTCAACAACCTGCCATGGGGCGACATTGCATGGATCTGGTAAGGCATGCCCAAGCCGAGGTCTTCCGTATATGCTAATACTCAGTAGGTCTCTTCTATATTACGTGTTCCTTGCAGTAATGAACATTTTCGTCAATATTCTGAAGAACCCTCAACACCCTAAAGCCAAAGAAGACCTCCAATCTCTCACCATGGCCGCGACCTTCTTCGCGACACTTATTCCAGGCGATGGACCGGGCCACTATGCTCGGTTTATGACTAAAATGAGTGCCAATTTCGAGCGACTCGCTCGCAATCTTGTCGAACGAGACGTCAAAGTCCTGAAACCCGGTGACATGAAAAGTAATTCACCCGAGACAAACAAGGATGAGAACCGTACAGCATCCAAAACTGCCGCGGATCAGACTGTTTATTCACGCCATCGACAAACCGGCCTTGCTTCTCAATCACGGACCAGTCTCCATACGTCTACCCCGACCTCTCCTACCTCAACTGCCGCTCATAAGAACACACACAACATTCCTCCCAACATTGAAGGTCTGCCTCAAATCAACTCCTCCGGTTACGTTGTTCCCGACAGTTTCAGTCCCGCCCCTAAACCAGAAACTTACTCCACATCCCCGCCTCCTCTTACCACAACATATTCCCAACGGCCACAAGCACAGTCTCATAGTCAATCTGCTACGCCGGTTCCCCTGCACCCCAGCGACGCCCCCTCCCAGCAGCAGCAACCCTTCGGTATAAGCGGCTTCGACGCCGGCTTCTTTCCCGTCTCAGTCAACAGCGACAATTTCCACTTCGGCCAGCCAGGTCTGTGGCAAATCCCTCTGACAGCCGATTGGGAGCTGTCGCCCCAGGCACTGAACGGCATCTTTGGCTTCGACCTGAATTATCCCATTCCGGACGCATTGCACTCGCAACCGATGGCCGACCCCGGCAGCAACGTGAGAATGGGCGCCCCACCGCCGTCCCAGTTCGGCACTCCGAACCTAGGTGGACAGCAGGCAATGGGTCCAATGCCCATGGACCTGGGCCTACCACCGTACGCGCCCAACATGGTGCCACCGCCACCGATTGGCGGTTCTCAACGTCAGACCGTCACTCCTGACGACGCAGCAGCAGCAGCAGCAGCAGCAGCAGCACAAGCCATGCAGGCGAATTCAATGTGGATGAACGGTCCGTTCTCCGGGCCATATCCATTCCCGATGTAGATCGGACGCGGACTGGTCTGCTGTCACGTGCACATACGCAGCAGGCCGACTAAGCGCTCTTTTGCCAAATAACATAACATACCCTCCTAATGCTTTCATATATGAAACAGACATGACGAATTCATGAATCTCCAGTACTCTTCTCATCCTATTCCTGTACTCATACTGTCATCATCTAATGCATGGAAATTGGAAAACCTGCACATATACAGCACATAACCATACCTCGGACTGTTGCATGCATGTACATGGATAGTAGATAGGCAGCAATGGGTTCTTGTTGTTTGATACGCTATTTCCCGCACTGATCCTTTTCTGTAACAAGAGAATTAAAAATATGAAACCACATGACTACACCTGAGGATTCCTCAGCGCCCCGACCCAACCAAACACCGATTTAGAAGTCCCCCGCACACTCCTCCTTAAATTATCAACATGAAGGGAATCAGAACCTGTGGAAAGTGAAAGTTTAGAAACAACCCCGAAACGTAAAATCAACAACCTCCAGTCTCACAGTCGCCTACGACCTTCAAGAATTTAAAACACAACAATACTCCCGAATTCCGTTCACCGGGCACCAAACTCAGAACCACAGTACATGATATCTGAAGTTCAAAACACCGTGCCGGTCAATTTGCGCACTGCCGTCCTCCAGACGCCCCGACCGAGCGGCATCTTGCCCTCGGACGCGGCCCCGGACCCGGAGAGCCCTTTGTTCAAGATACTGCGCATTTCCGTCTCGGACAAGCCCTTGCTCTGGGCAGTAAATCCGTACACCTTGCTGGCGAGGACGTCGGTCTGGAGATCCAGCTGTCCGAGTGCCCCTGCACCCGCACCCGCACCGTCCTGTGGAGGGGGGAGGATGCGGGTGCGGACGGCGAAGTCGACGTCGATGCGGCAGTTCGACGGGGAGGAAGCGGAAGAAGAAGAAGGCGGGGCGGGGTTGAGGAGGGTACAGCGGGCGCGGAGGGAAGGGGCGGGAGTAGGGGTCTTTTTGGCGTTGGCGGAAGAGTCGTTGCCCTCAAGGAGTTTGAGCTTGGTGACGCCGCAGAATTCGAGGAGGCGGGCTTCTTCTTCAAGCTGGAGGGTCAGGTCCCATGCTTGGGCGATGAAGTGGAGAAGGTGTTTTGGGGCGGTGCGGGATTGCGGGATAGAGGTGAGGTGGATTTGGAGGGACTTCAGGACGAGGAGGGTGATAGCGGACAGGTGTGGAGTGGTGGAAGGGGTGGGTTTCGACGTGGTGGTAGTGGTGGTGGTGGGGGCGTATTTGAGCGTGATGGGTGCGTTGGTGGTTTGGTCGTTGGGAGTGGTGGAGGGGGTGTTGTTGTTGATGAGGAAGGACGCAGGGTGGAAGGTGAGTTGCAGCTGGTGTCGGTAGGACATGGTCACTGTTGGGCCGGCTGGGGTGGAACCGTCCGATGCGGTGGCAGATACGATGCTCCAGCCGGTTTGGCGCTCGATGTTGCGGACTGAGTCTTTCAGTTCGCTGATCTCTTGCGCGCTCCAGCCGCGACATTCCGCCTTGACTCGTTCGGCTTCCTGGATCTGAGCCATGTACTCGGCTTTGACCTCGGTGCCGGTTTCGACGATGTTGGTCTTATCCTCGAGTTCGACCTGCATCTCCTGTAGGAGCTTCTTTTTCTGCGCGATCTCGTCCTCGACGCCCGCAAGCTTTTCCCGTGCGCTGCGCAGCTCATCTTGGTCACAGTTCTCAAGCTCGTCTGCTAGTTGCTGCAGTATCGTAGCTTCCGCCTCGAGAGAAGAGTGTTTTTCGATAAGAGCAGGTACTGTACCGCTCAGAAGGGCCTCATGCTGAGCAAGAAGTTCATCGTCTGCTTTCATCTCTTGCACGTGACGGTTGAGGCCATCCCGAAGACCCTCCAATAGTTTCATGCGCCACTCATACCATGTAGCCTTACTAAGTAGGCGAGCATGAGTCTTCACATTACGGAATTGATTGTCCATCAGCAAGCGGATGTCCGGTGGAGCGGTCATATACTCGCGGAACAGTGGCGGATTATCGGCAAGAGTCTCGGTCTCAATAGACCGGATCACCTGTCTGCCTTCATTTATATACGACTTCAACTCACGACAAGACTAGAAAGATGTCAGTGGTGCAGTATTACTAAGCCTTGGAAGAACTTACATGCTGAAACAACTCAAGCATAGGCACGGTGCAGAAGCCAGCAGCCACGCACTCTTCGAAACTCGCGGGACTTCTGGCCTCGTTCTCGCTAGAAAGTCGAAGATTCCGCTTCCGAGCGCTGTCTGGGGCAGTAGTATGCCTTCTTTTCGTGGTTGTGAGTTCCATGAAGTGGATGTTGGTCATGTTGAGGAATTCCTGCAACTGTATAGGCTCGACCTCCGGGCCAGCATCTTCTACAGGCGCATCTTGCACCTCGGTCGATTCTGAGTTAGATGCTGTGTCGGAGTTATCTTTGACAGGACTCGTGGTAGCACTGATGGTCTTGGGGGTCTGTGTTGGCGTTGACATAGATCTGAGGGGAGATTGTGCACCAATGGTCTTAAGTGGAGACTGGAATCCTCGTCCAAAAGTGTCACTGTTGGTCGAATGAGCTGGGAGCTTGAACTTCTTCACTGGGCTGCTAGTCTCGCGGCCTCGTAAGCGCTTTGGCGTGTGATCAGAATCCGCATCGTCGTCCAAATCCAACTCGACTGGTCTTTTACCCAGCAGGCCACGGGCGGCCCCGACATGCAAGCTCTTTCTACCACGAAGCTTATTCTTCTTGGGTGTCAGGCTCGAAATCATGTCCTTCAAGCTTGCGGTGGGATCCCTGTCGTTCAGTTTTGGAGGCGAGATGAAGCCATCTTCTCTGTTCACCTCCTCTTCGCGTTCACGATCTACTTCCTCCTGAAGCTTCACGGGATCTTCGAAGCGTACACCCTGCTTTGACTGCTCCTGAGGAACAAATTCGGGTGCTTCTTCACCAATAGACCGGCGCTTATCCAGCATAGCAGCGACTCGGGGTGATCCAAGCCCCTCTTTGTCGATACCAAGACCAGAGGACCGCCTCTTCCCATGGGGTTGCAATACAAAAAGAGGGGCCGGCTTTCCATTGACGCTCTCCCCAAAAAGACTATTGCGCCTGGGAGATGTATTGCTTGCAGGTTCTTGTAATTCTGACTGGGACAGCTTCTGTGGTGATGCATTTTCTGCACCTGCATCTCTGGAAGGGGTCGTTGATTGTGTATTTGAGGGTGCATTGACTGTCGGCGTGGATGGATTGGGAGGAGAGACCATATCCTTCGGTGGAGATACCTGTGGTGTATGTGGAGTAGGTGTAGTGGGCGCCGGATGGGTCAAGCTTTGCCTCGTTCGTCGGGCCCGTACACTTGCCAGGCTAGGGCTTCCACTTTCTGATGCCACAGCTGCAACATGAAACGATACTGGTAATTTGGAAGCAGACTCGACTTGCGACTTGGCTGGCGAGTTCGCTGGTGATTTGGCTGGCGACTTGGAAGGTGACTTGGAAGGTGATTTGGTTGGTGACTTAGCGGGTGACTTAGTAGGAGACTGCCGTACGGTCTCTTGAAAGGGCGAACTACCCAGTTGAGCCGGCTCGGGTTCCGGGGTCACTCGGTCTTCATCCGGTTCCTGTGGCCCTTGTTCTTGTTCTGCCTCTGGTTCTAGAATCTTTCCAACAGCAGCGGTCATATCCATGCCTGCGGTTTGGTCGTCATCTTCGGCTGCAATGCTCTCCTGAGTACCAGGAATAATGCCACCGATGGCCCCAGTAATCTCCATATCCATACCATCATCCATCTCATTCGCGTTCTCCCATCCAGAGAAGACTCGGTCGTTCTCCCCTGATATGAAGGCTTCTTGTTGATCATCATCGTCGTTCTCATCCGCATTGTTGGCGACGCCAAGACTGTTCAAAAGGCCTCCAACAACGGAGGTGAATTCCATAGTCATCTCTTCATCTCCGTTTCTACTATCCACCCCTATGGACTTCGCGGGAGAAATTGGCTGTGCGATACCTCCCACGACATTAGTGAATTCCATGGTCTGTTCTTCATAATTAGTCTCCTCGCTAAGAGACTTGCGGCGCACTTCACTCCTGTGTCGACTCGCTTGAATGGGGAGAATTCGGCCAATTGCATTGGTGACCTCCATGCTAAGGTCCTCATCCATAACATCATCCTCATCTTCCGCAGTCGGGGGAGCATCGAGCATTGGTTCAGAAGGCGGAGCATTCTCCTGATCATACCGAGCGCTGATATCCGCCCAGTCGAAACTCTCACGTTGGCCCTTCTTTATCCAAGGCTGGAAAGCACCTGTGATCTCCTGGTCTGCGATCTCCATAGACATGTCTCCATCATCGTCCTCAAAATCACGAGTTCCAGCTTCTCTAGCCGCTTGCCGCAAAGCTTCGTTCAAGCGCGCGCTGCCAGTGGTGGCATCGGAACCATCAGAATGAACTGACGCTGGAGAATGAACTGACATGACATCCAAGCTCATTGCCGTGCTTTCTCCGTCGAATCCAGAAGTCGATGAATTGTCGTCATCGTCATCGTCGTCTCTCTGTAGTCCAAGATCTTCAGTCCCGTCGGCCGAACTTCCGCTGAAAGGGCTTGAGAACATCTCCTGCGACTCATCGTAGCTTCTATCGGTTGACTGGCTTTGGAGTTGCTGCAAGTCTGGATACTGCACGGGCGAGAAGCCGGCATCTGACTCTGCGTATGGATCGGGGGAGGATCGCGGTTCGGCTTGTTCGGCTTGCTCGACTTGGGGAGCAGGGGTCTGGTTTCCAGCTCCGGCTAATGATGAAGCGCGCCGTGTCGAGTTGGCAGCAGATGATGAAGTCGAGTCGTCGGGTATTTCCACCACGTTCCAAGTGTGCAATGTGGCTTCGGGGGCGAATGAGACACGGCGATTGGCTGTGATATTGGGTAAGCGACGTATAGGTTGCACATGAATCAAGGTGACAAACCCATTGACTTTCGACGTGCCTCCCTCTTCTCAAGGATCATCTTCC